GGGTAGTTATGGTTGGAAAATGAGTGATTCTAGGCTATCGAAAGAGTTGGAATATCTTAGGGAGTGTAGGCATATTTGGTTCTGAAGTTAAGTGTCACGATGGTTCGAGGATGTATTAGATCATTGTATTATCTCTTATCTATGTTGCTTATATGTGGCTAGTTATGGTAGGAAAATGAGTGATTCTAGGCTATATTAAGAAGTGGAATATCTTAGGGAGTGTAGGCATATTTGGTTCCGAAGTTAATTGTCACAATGGTTCTAGGATATGTTTTCAGTTGATCATGAGGTTCTAGGATATCATTGTATAATCTCTTTAAGTCTTATCTACGCTGCTTATATCTGTTCTACTTTATCATTTGTGCTGATTTATGCTATAGAGTGTTAGAATATCCCCTTGTAGTGCATTTGATGGTGATCTCCCACATATTTTATGTTTACTGCACTTTAATGCTCATTCCGTTCTTCTCCTTGTTTCAAACGGTTTTGTAGTTCAACATATTGGAATGATCCTAAACTGTGTTTCATTTTGCAATATAACTTGGAAGTGCATTTCATTCTTATGTTATAACTACTGTTTGTTTTGCATCGTGAAACTTTATGCTTCTGATGTTTAAGATTATGGCATGAATTCAGGAATGCTTACAATATGGTGCTGCACAAATTTGGAGAGAAAACTCTACTCTGGTCTGGTGACAACCATGACTTGTCATCTAAAAGATATATCTAAGTCAATTGAAGCTGCGCAGGGTGAGTTGTTTTTGGAAGAGCTGAACCGGAAGTGGGCAGACCATAACAAAGCGTTGCAGATGGTTCGAGACATATTGATGTACATGGACAGGACTTTCATCCCAAGCACCCACAAAACCCCTGTTCATGAGCTTGGGTTAAACCTGTGGAGGGATGTTGTTATCCACGCTACCAAAACCCAGTTGAGGCTGTTGGATACACTTCTTGAGCTTGTGCATAGAGAAAGGAGTGGTGAAGTAATTAACAGAGGCTTGATGAGGAATATTATAAAAATGTTAATGGATTTAGGTTCTACTGTTTACCAAGACGACTTTGAGAAGCATTTTCTTGAGGTTTCAGCTGATTTTTACCGCTGTGAGTCTCAGGAGTTCATAGAGTCATGTGATTGTGGGAACTATTTAAAGAAGGCTGAGAGACGCTTAATGGAAGAAATGGAGAGAGTCTCCCAGTATTTGGATGCTAGAAGTGAAGCTAAGATAACTAATGTGGTGGAGAAGGAGATGATTGAAAATCACATGAACAGACTAGTTCATATGGAGAGCTCAGGTTTAGTTAATATGCTTGTGGATGACAAATATGACGACTTGGGAAGAATGTATAGCTTGTTTCGCAGGGTGCAGAATGGACTTGTAATAGTACGAGATGTTATGACCGCTTACATCCGGGATACTGGTAAGCAGCTAGTTACTGACCCAGAAAGGTTAAGGGATCCTGTAGATTTTGTGCAGCGTCTCCTGGACTTGAAGGATAAATATGACAAAGTTATCAGCTCGGCGTTTAACAATGACAAAACATTCCAAAATGCTCTAAATTCCTCTTTTGAATACTTCATTAATTTGAATGCCCGGTCCCCAGAGTTCATATCTCTGTTTGTGGATGACAAGCTTCGGAAAGGTCTAAGAGGGGTTAGTGAGGAGGATGTAGAGGTTGTACTGGACAAGGTCATGATGCTTTTCCGTTATCTTCATGAGAAAGATGTCTTTGAAAAGTATTACAAGCAACACTTGGCAAAGAGGCTTCTTTCTGGGAAGACTGTTTCTGATGATGCAGAAAGAAGTCTGATTGTTAAGCTCAAAACAGAGTGTGGATATCAGTTTACTTCTAAGTTGGAGGGTATGTTCACTGATATGAAGACCTCTCAGGATACAATGCATGAATTCTACTCAACTGTCGGAGCTCAGTTAGGCGACAGCCCAACACTAACTGTCCAGGTCCTCACCACAGGTTCATGGCCTACTCAACCAAGTGCGACCTGCAACCTTCCAGCAGAAATTTTGTGGGTATGTGAGAAGTTCAAGAGTTACTATCTTGGGACCCATACTGGCCGGAGATTGTCCTGGCAAACTAATATGGGCACAGCTGATTTGAAATCAACCTTTGGAAAGGGCCAGAAGCATGAGCTGAATGTTTCCACATATCAGATGTGTGTACTGATGCTATTTAACGACACTGACCGGTTGACGTATAAGAAAATTGAGCAGGCTACAGAGATACCAGCCGTTGACTTGAAGAGGTGCCTGCAATCTCTGGCCTGTGTCAAGGGGAAGAATGTTCTTCGGAAGGAGCCAATGAGCAAGGACATAGCTGAGGAGGATGTCTTCTTCTTTAATGACAAGTTCACAAGCAAGTCCTTCAAGGTAAAGATAGGTACTGTGGTTGCACAAAGGGAGTCCGAACCAGAAAATCAAGAAACCCGACAGAGAGTAGAGGAAGACAGGAAGCCCCAGATTGAAGCAGCAATTGTGAGGATCATGAAGTCTAGGCGGGTCCTGGATCACAATAACATTGTCGCGGAGGTGACGAAACAGCTGCAGGTGCGATTCTTGCCCAACCCTGTTGTAATAAAGAAACGAATCGAGTCCCTCATTGAGCGGGAGTTTTTGGAGAGGGATAAAACGGATCGAAAATTGTACAGGTACCTTGCTTGAAAAGAAAAACTACGGTCGGTTTCTTTTCTTATTTATTTGTGGCGTTCGGCACAAGCCTGTATAATTTATCCTACGTTTGGTTGGTCGGAATATTGTTGTTGGATCATTACGGGCTGTTGGTGGGTTCCGATGAAGTTAAATTCATGCATCTTTGTTGCTTAATATTTCCGCATGTTTATTCAGCTTTAACTTTTCTGAATGGGATGATGGAACTGTGTTGGAAAGAATCACTCCTCCTATTGCTTCTGGTATTACATGCTGATGTTCATTAATAGCTTGCGAAACGATTGATATACTCCTCGACGCCCCGACGGAGAATACCATTTCGCACGAAGCTGAGCAACTGAGCAGAATCTGTTGAGTTTTATGACACGTTTAACCGTAATGAAAATATGAGGAATTAAATTGAGGGGTTGGAAGTTAAAATCAGATTTCTGTTGAAGTTGTTTACTTAAATATTTTGTAATCGAAATAGAAATGACATTAATTTCATAAAATTGTTTACTAATTCAACGGAATTGGAATATAATAATTATGATTACTAAAATGCCCTTGTCCCAAATCAAATATTTTATGTACTTTTTTTGAATAAAATTTGATATGATATATAATAGTAAGAATTTTTTTTTTAATTTTTATTTCATAGACAGAAAATGCTTTTTTTTTTTTTTTATTTTTTATTTTTATTTTTATATAAATTTAAGTATTTACTTTAATATTTAAATTTTCTTTCTCAAATTGTAGTTTCTTCTCTTCGGCATATGCATGGAGTGCACATAATGTAAATGAGAGCATAATAGGAAGAAAAAATGCATTCCTGATTCCCTTACCCTCTTGGAATTCAAATATCTCATCTATCAAGGAATCTCACTCCTCCAATTTCAGGAATTGCATTCCTTGTTTCTTGTTGGGCCCACCACAATAATGATTCCCCAGTATTTAGTAAACATCGGAATAATCCATAATCAGAATTCAATTCCCCTTTTTTTTTTATTCCCATTATCCTTACGTAAACGCGCTCTTAGATGCAAACGGCTACGCTAACGAACGACGGAGTTGAAGACTTCACAACTATCAAAAGCTTTATATGTATATGGGAGTGAACTTTATAAGTCGGAGATGAGATGTTGGAGGAAACCAAATAAACTATGCCATTAATATAATAATTCCTATTTGTTTGGCCCCCTCCAACTCTCACATACGACTTTTAAAATAACATTGGGATGTTACGAGCAATTTTTAGTTTAAACGCCGGAGATGAGATATTGGAAGAAACTAAACAAATTAGGAATGTTCCATTGGAATTCTAATTTGTTTAGTCCCATCCAATTCTCACATACAACTTTTAAAACAGCATGAAATGTTGAATTGGTATGGAGGGACGGTGGTAGACGAGATGTTGGAGGAAATAGAACCACGTTTTTTCGAAAATAGGTTCAGTTTCCTTCAACTCTCATTTACAATATTCCACATCCTCTTTCTTTTTATGTCAATTGAAGGCTGAAAAGCAAGCAACCAAGTATTTATAGGCATTCTCATTCCTCATATCTCAACGAGAGATGAAGACTATCTTTCCTTCATGCATTTGGTAATTCATGGGAGCAAAATTTTCATGCTGCGACTGACGGTCAAGGTCTAGCATACTGACAAAAATGGATTATGGGCCCGATAAACAAAGTTAATAAGTGGTTTTGGGCTGGACCGTACATACGGGCCCAAGTTCATTCAGTTTGCTGCAACAAAGTGAAGCTAAAGGAAGCCCATAAACAAACCCACCAGGATGACTTATTGTAGTTGAGGAGGGTACTTACCTTTGGGATGTAACAATAGCGTTATTCTAAGCTAATCACGCAATATGATTTGATTTTTTCATGTAGGTTTGTATGTGATTGACTCGAAAAATTGTCACAATTGCACCTCGTCGCAATGAGTTTCTTCTCATTGCCTAATTGTAGACCACGTTCTCAAATGAATTGATGGCAATGGTAGTGATTATTGTATACCCTATTTATTTACAAGTCATGTTTGTGCCAACTTACAAATCGATTTAGCATATATGATATTACAATAATAATACAATAAAACAATAACTCACACTTCATAAAAGAGCAAAGCAAAAAGAGTGTTATCGTGTTTTAGTTGTGCTACTAAGTATTCATATTAAATTCTATGCTTGTGCATATTTAGAAATATAAAATGTTTCGCGTTAGAAATTGATAGAAAATTTAAATATTTTCATGTCAATTTTAAACGAGGCACGTGCTTATTAAACAAAACACAAAGCAGTACACAAGTTCAATAAAACCAAATTCCGTCCTCATTAGCAAATACTTTGCAAGATCTTGAGCCACCTTGGCCAAACATTGGGACTAAATAGTTCTGTCCGGTATGACGTATGCCCTAACTGCCGGTTCTAAGTTTCCAACGACTGATCAGTAACCAGTAACCAACAACCCCAGCAACGCTGCCGGCTCCGAGCAGAGCTTGAAAATTCCAACCATGTCCTCCAAATGGCGCGCAATCCAGCACCGCCACCGCTACACCTACAACACCGTCGTCTTCCCCGCCACCTACACCGATTCCCTGAACTCCCTCCCTCCGCAAATCGCCACCTCAAAGTTCTTCTCCCTGCTCAAAGAGCTAGTCTCTCTGAACTCCACATACGCCCAGCTCAACCACACTAAGGGCCTCGCCGCCGCTTTCGGCGACGTACTCGCCAGTGGGGACGAAGGTCTGGTCTCCGAAGCGGCGCCGTTTTACTTGGAGCTTCTGTTTCTGGAAAATTCGCTGCCTCTGCATAAGACCCTCGTCTCTGTTTGGCAAAGGCTCGGACTTTTCAGGCTCTGATCAGGCGATGCTATCAGAGGCTCTGCGAAGACTACGGCGGCGGTAGAGGGAAGCGGTTCTGCGTGTCCCGGTCGGCCTTATCGGTAATGGGTATGCCAAAGTTGGGTTTTTGGTTGAAATTGTGGAAGAATGCGCCGTTATGATCGCTTGCGATACGGTTTCTAGCTTGAATGCTCTGATTTCGGAGACGAAAGCGCACTATCGGCCTTCTCCGATCGTCATGGAGCAATGCCAGGAGGCTCTGTCTTGTTTGTATTATCTGTTTCAGCGCTTCCCTTCGAAATTCGAGGAGTTCAATGGTGGTTCTGGGGGTGGTTGTGATAATGCTGGTCGTTCGAATGTGTTGGAGATGAGTGTGGCTGTTATTTTGAGCGTTCTGAGATCGGTGGCGTTTTCGAGGGACTGCTATGTGGCTGCTGGAGTGAGCTTTTGTGCAGCCCTGCAAGTGCGTCTCAGTCCAGAAGAGCTCGGCTTGTTTATAATGGAAGGTATTTTTCACCCAACTGATTGTAGTAGTAGTAGTAGTTTAGATGCCAATGCAGATAGTGAAAAAAGGAATGCCATTGCCAAACTTCCTTATAAAGGGGATATGTACACTGAAATTCATAGTTTATCGGACTTGAGTAGACTTTGCTTGCTACGGGGGATTCTTACCGCGGTTTCGAGAGCAGTGCTTAATACCCATTTCGATGTGTCAAAGAGTAGTTCGAATGGCTACGAGAGTCATACGAATGGTGGCAACTGTGTTAAGACTATACTGTATGATGGAATTTTGCCTGAGTTATGTAACTACTGCGAGAACCCTACCGATAGCCATTTTAACTTTCATGCATTGACTGTGTTGCAGATTTGTTTGCAACAAATAAAAACCTCCATGTTAGCTAATCTTACCATCACATCCGAGGATTATGATCCGGTTCCGGTGGAGATGGGTACCCGGATATTGAGGATCGTATGGAATAATTTGGAAGATCCTTTGAGTCAAACAGTCAAACAAGTTCATCTCATTTTTGATCTCTTCCTAGACATTCGATCCACTCTACACTGGTCAGAAGGTAGTGAGAGAATAAGGTCATTCTTGCAAAGCATTGCTTCAGATCTTCTTCGTCTGGGTCCTCGCTGCAAGGGAAGATATGTTCCTTGGGTTCACTAACCAAGAGATTAGGTGCAAAAACTATGTTGGATATGAGTCCTGGCTTGCTGTTTGACACTATACATGCGTACATTGATGATGACGTGTGCTGTGCTCTCACATCATTTTTGAAGATTTTACTTGAGGACTTGCGTAACGAGTGTTGGAGCAGTGATGGTATTGAAGGTGGTTATGCACTTTATAGGGGGCATTGTCTGCCTCCAATTTTGTCTGGACTTGCTTCTGGGGTTTCAAAGCTCCGCTCTAATTTGAACACTTATGCTCTACCAATTTTACTTGAAGTGGATGAGGACAGTATATTTGCTATGCTTGCTTTTATTTCAGTTGGTCCGAGCAAGGGTGAAAGTCAACTGTCATATCCTGAGCTCTGTTGTGGAAACATGGAACCGAGAGTTCAACAGAAAGTGGCCATCTTAGTTTCATTGCTGAAGGTATCTCGTTTGCTTGCATTGCTTGAAGGGGACATTGATTATGCAGTATGTGAAAAGATTGGTGGACTGGAAACAAATTTCCCCGAACGACATGCTCTTGTTTCTATCAAGGGGATAAAGGTTGAAGTTCGTGTTGAGTGGCTAGTGCTGGCATTGACCCATGTTGATGATTCATTACGTGTGGATGCTGCAGAGACACTTTTCTTGAATCCCAAGACAGCTAGTTTACCTTCCCATTTAGAACTCATGTTATTAAAGGAAGCAGTGCCATTGAACATGAGGTGTTGCTCTACAGCTTTCCAAATGAAGTGGAGTAGCTTGTTCAGAAAGTTTTTTGCTCGGGTCCGAACAGCATTAGAGAGACAATTTAAGCAGGGACGCTGGGAACCCCTGGAGCATAGTAAAAGCAATGGAATGCATCTTTCAATTGGAAGTGAACATCCTGAAGCTAACAGGGCAAGCGATCTTTTTCATTTCATGAGATGGTTAAGTTCATTTCTATTTTTCTCTTGCTATCCTTCTGCACCTTATAAGAGAAAAATAATGGCAATGGAGCTCATTCTAATAATGCTCAATGTTTGGTCTATTGTGCCTGCTACTCAAGAGAAAAATGGTTCTTTATGTGTGGAAGACTGTCTCTATCCTTATAATAAAGGAATGACCTTACCTGATTCAACTTTGTTGTTAGTGGGATCCATAATTGATAGTTGGGACAGGCTGAGAGAGAATTCTTTTCGCATATTGTTACATTTTCCGACCCCACTTCCTGGAATTTCAGATCAAGTTATGGTCCAGAACGTGATTTTATGGGCTAAGAAATTAGTTTGCAGTCCACGAGTGAGAGAAACTGATGCTGGAGCTCTGACTTTAAGGCTGATTTTCAGGAAGTATGTCTTACAGCTAGGATGGACAGTCCGAGCTTCAGTTAATGTAGCTTGTCTCAATACACAGTCTGGCTTGAAAAGCGGAGATAATCAAACTTATAATTCTGGATATCCTGTGATGGAATATATAAGGTCACTGATTGAATGGTTGGATGTTTCCATAGAGGAAGGGGAGAAGGATCTTTCTGAAGCATGTCAGAACAGCTTTGTTCATGGCGTATTACTCACTCTACGATATGCTTTTGAGGAATTGGACTTCAACTCTGACATAGCACAGTCTAGTATCTCAGAGATGAGACATTCACTAGAGAAGCTCTTGGAGCTTGTAATGCGAATAACTTCTTTGGCACTTTGGGTCGTCTCTGCAGATGCTTGGCATCTCCCTGAGGACATGGATGAAGTGGTTGATGACAATGATTCTTTCTTATCAGAGGTTCCAGATGAGGTGGGGGTGAAAACATCTCTGTTGGAGGATGAAGACAAAAATTACAAATTTGTCCAGAATAACAGGCGATCAGAACAAAGTGTAATGGTTGGCTGTTGGCTTGCGATGAAAGAGGTAATCAAATTGTCGTTAACTTATGGTTTTGCATTGGAATGCAGTTAATATGTCATTGATGTGATAGTTTCTTTAAGAACATGGATTTATAGTTGAATCTATATACTTTAACCCTCAATGTCGAGGATATATGATATTGTAGTACGTAGAATGTACAGTCAAGACCAAGGTTTTGTAAATTTACGTCAATGTGGACATGTTAATTTTGCCATAAATTTTCAGGTGAGTCTTCTTTTGGGAACTATCACAAGAAAGATTCCTTTACCAAGTACCCCTTCCTCAGAATCATTAGATTCAGAAGCCACCTATTCTTGTGCTTCTGATGCTTCAGTTATGATGGCTTCGGATGCAATGCTTGATGTGAAACAACTTGAAAGAATTGGGAATCACTTCTTGGAAGTCCTTTTGAAGATGAAGCACAATGGTGCAATTGATAAAACGAGGGCCGGATTTACAGCTCTTTGCAACCGGTTACTTTGTTCAAATGATCCTCGGTATGTTTATGGTTTTTTTTATAGTTATTTTTCAAGTTTGTACATTGTAATATTATATACTATATTATTATTTATGTTAAGGCAACAACTTTAGTATAAGGTTTTCATGCCTCTCATGACTTTTATTTGTTGGATTATGCCGTCACCATTCAGACTTTGCAAGTTAACAGAATCCTGGATGGAGCAGCTTATGGACAGAACCGTGGCCAAGGGTCAAACAGTGGATGACTTGTTAAGGAGAAGTGCAGGTATTCCTGCTGCTTTTATAGCACTGTTCCTCTCAGAGCCAGAAGGTGCACCTAAGAAACTTCTCCCACGGGCTTTACGGTGGCTCATAGATGTTGCTAATGCATCTTCTGTGGGTCCAGTTGAAACCAACAACTCTAATGGCGACATGGGTAAATTTCCCTCAATTAAGTCGGACAAAGTTTTTGAGTCTGTGGTCTCGTCAGATATAGATATTAGTGACAAGGTTTCAAGGATCCGTGATGAGGGTGTCATTCCTACTGTACATGCATTCAATGTCCTCAGAGCTGCCTTCAATGATACAAACCTGGCTGCTGATACCTCAGGTTTTTCTGCTGAGGCTATGATTGTTTCAGTTCACTCCTTTTCTTCTCCCCACTGGGAGGTCCGGAATAGTGCTTGTCTGGCATACACTGCTTTGGTACGTCGCATGATTGGATTCCTTAATGTCCAAAAACGAGAGTCATCTAGGCGTGCGCTAACTGGGGTGGAATTTTTTCATCGGTATGGATTCCTTGACTAGTTATTTCGTACTATCATGGGTTCTTGCTCAATGCTTTGATTTTTTATTTGGTTTCCCGAGTAAACTGTAACTTTAATCAAAATATCCTTTTTCCTTGAAGGTATCCCTTATTGCATCCATTTCTAATCAAGGAACTGAAAGCTGCGACAGTGTTGCTTGGAGACGGGATATCTGGACAATCTGAATCCAACCTAGAAAATGCTGTGCACCCAAGCTTGTGCCCTGTATTGATTCTGTTATCAAGGCTGAAGCCCTCAACAATCGTAAGCGAGACTGGAGATGATGTGGATCCTTTTCTGTTAATGCCCTTCATTAGAAAGTGCTCAACACAAAGCAATCTAAGAGTCCGTGTTCTTGCATCTAGAGCTTTAGCGGGTCTTGTATCTAACGAGAAGTTGCCAAGTGTTCTCCTCAATATAGTATCCGAGTTGCCAAGAAGAGATGACCAAGCTACATGGACTCCTGAGTCGTCCCTATTATTTGATAAAACCGAAAGAAGACAACAAAGTTCTTATAATTGGATTCATGGAATTCTATTGCAGCTGAGCTCTCTCCTGGATACGAACTGTAGAAATCTGGCTGATTCCTCAAAGAAAGATCAGATTCTTGGTGATCTGTTTCAAGCTCTTTTAGCACATTCATGGATCGGAAAGCCCAGATTGTGCCCTTGTCCAATCCTCAATGCCTCTTTCCTAAATTTGCTGGATCACATGCTCAGTATTGCAAGGACGTGCCATACGAGCAAAAACGTTTATGCTCTCCGCAACCTAGTTTAGGAGTTATCTACAGAATGCTTAGATGTAAAAGCTTCTAACGGGCGTTCGTATTATGATCCAACAATGGCAGAACTCCGACAACAAGCAGCAGTCTCCTATTTCAGTTGCGTGTTTCAAGCATCTGATAAAATGGCTGAAGAGGTTTTTCAGACGCCTCAGAGGTATTCTCAGAGTAATTCAAGATTTGTGGAGATACCTGAAATGGAAAACCCTTTTGCGGGACTCCAGGAAAGGCTGGTCCGCTCTTTGTCGGATTCAGAATATGAAGTTCGACTGGCAACATTGAAGTGGCTGCTGAAATTCATAACATCAACAGAATCTGGTCATGAGTCCCATGATAACAGCAGTGAGATTAGGGTTATTCAGCACTGGGTTAGAACTAACCTCCAAACGACATTGGTTAATCTATTGGATGTGGAGAAGTACCACAGATGCTCATATTACATTCTGAGGATTCTATTCACTTGGAATACACTGCAGTTTCAGAAGCTTGGGGATGCAAAATGCACGGAAACAATTTACGTCGCTAGTATGGAATGCGATTCTGTATTTCTGCTTTGGGATAAGTTGATTTCGTTGTACAAGTTCACGAGACATGCAAAAGCTCGACAAACACTCATCTGCTGCTTCGGAATCTGCATAAAGAGGTTTGCAGGTTTATTAACAACTTCTGTTCTTTCGGATAACAGTGACTCTGATCGGTTAGAAAAGTTGACCCGACTTTATGGCATAATTTCCTTTTTCACCAACGTAATTATGAAACATAGTGCCTCGTCTGAGCCAATAAACATGCGCATGGCAGCAGCAGAGTCTATCATAGCATCTGGTTTGCTAGAGCAAGCTGAGCTTATCGGTTACACTGTGTTCAATAACCGAATCCCTTCTGAAAATCCATGTTCTACTTTTGAACCAAAAGAAGCGGTGAATTTCTACGCACATCAAATACTAGATATATGGTTCACATGTATCCAGCTGCTGGAGGATGAAGATGATGAGATTAGAGAAAGGCTTGCCATGGGCATTCAAGGGTGTTTTACGAGCAAAAGATCCGGAAGCTCTCATGATGGAGTAGTCCGGACTCAAGTGGAGAAAGTGATAGGATCTTGTTTTGAGCATCTATCTTCCGTCTTTGGCCACTGGATTGGGTATTTCGATTCTCTTTTACGCTGGGTGCTGAATGCTTCAAATCGCGAGGTGCCGAAAGGAGATCTTGTGAGACAGGTATTTGATAAGGAAATTGACAATCATCACGAGGAAAAGCTGTTCATCTGTCAACTGTGTTGTTCTCAACTGGACAAGCTTCGAATTTCAAAATCTTGGGTGGCTGACTTTCAGAACAAACAACAGTTTAGTGAGTATCTACATGATTGGAGGCTCAGATTTTCCTGCCAGTTGACCTCATTTGCGAAGGACCGCATTGCAAAACTATGTGGAGCAGATTGGATTGGTGGAGCGGGCAACCACAAGGATGCATTTCTGCCCCTGTATGCCAATTTGCTCGCCTTCTACGCCCTCTCGAAATGCATATTCAACTGGGAAAACTGGCGATAACAAGCATCTACAGTCTGATGTTGCCGAACTCGGTAAAGCCATCAATCCGTTTCTTAGGAACCCTTTGATCTCTAACCTGTATTTGTTAGTGGTTAAATCGCACGAGGATGCAGTTGGTTCGAACGGTGACGACTTGATTCCGAAATTGGGAGAGGGTGCGATATGGGAGGGATTCAATCCCCATTTTCTTCTTAGGTAAATATGTGATTTGTACAATACAATAGCCATGAATGATTCATATTAGTACACACTTCAGCTGGAAATACAAGTACTCTGCATTCCAACTTTATTGCCTTTTTTTTGGGAAGCCTCGTGAGGTTCTGATAGCTTAGTAGCGTTCTAGAATTCATATAGCTCATATTAGAAGGATTCAAACTCCGAGAGATGTCGGGTGCAGAGGTTGAATGCTCCTCTTATCCGACGAAGCTATACCCTTGCCAAATGACTTCCTTAATTCAGTTACACCATCCATTCAGCATTGGAGTTCCACTCTTATTGGACACCTTCCTACATCTTTACTACTTGATTTGTGCTGCTTTCCAAAAAGCCCCTTTTTTAGGCCGATCGGCCGGATACGTTTGAGGAATCTTAGGCCATCTCCAACCGAATGAGTGTTAAAGGGTTCCTTTCAACCCTATAATCCTGTAAAAAATTATATTTAATAAAGTGTTATGTCATATTTTATACAATCTCCAACCGAGAAATCTAAAGGGCCATAGGCCAAACATAGTTTTTTTTGACAAAAAACCATCTCCAACCGAGAGAGCCAAATGACCATAGGCAAAACATAATTAATTATTTTAATTAAATTAATATGGTTAATTAAATTAAACTACCATATTAAAATAAGGTTTTCGGACATATTTTAAGTGTCACTTGTCGCCAAATGAATAAGCTTTCAGATTTCTTATCTTTATATAATCTCAATAATTTTTTGGATAGATTTCGAGTAACACGTGTTGCTAACGTGAGTAACTCTCCAGATTTCTTATCTTTATGTAATTTCATTAATTTTTGGGATAGGATTTCGAGTAACACGTGTTGCTCAAGTGAGTAACTCTCCAGATTTCTTATCTTTACGTAATCTTAATAATTTTTCAGATAGAATTTTGAGTATCAAGTGTCGAGATGTAATTGGTTGTGCAAATTTTGGATAGGATTCTTATCTTTAGCTTTCAATGTTGTAGGAATGGTGTAGGTATTTATAGGAAAAAAATTAGAATTTTTTTTTAAATTCAAATTCCAACGGTACCTTGACTGCCACATGACGTTAGCTAGTCGTTGCTAGCTGGCATCATGCTGACGCCAGCTAGCCGTTGGCATTCAAATGGGATGAGCTAGAGGACTGACAAAATGTCAAGCTTGACATTCTGGTGCTGGAGGGTTGGCTGGTTGGCAAGAAATGGCCAGCCATTTGGCCTGATTTAGGGGTTTGGGCCCAGTGAGGCCCACAGGCCCTTTGGCCTAGCCCAGGGACGGAGCTAGAAATTTCTTCTAGCAGGGGCAACCCGAAAACCAACTAAGAAACTTTATTATAGTATGGCTTATACTCAATATGACAACATGGATTATTTCAAATGATGATGTATCACAATTCTAATGTTACAGAAATTTCAATATAATAGTGAAAAGTGAAAAGAAATATACTAATACATGATAGGCGGAAGAGGATTTTTTCCATCTGGATGACAAATTAAGAGCATTTTTGCTCATGTAATATTTGATATGGGGTATAAGTAGTATGAATATATGTTGAATATTAGATACATATAATTTTCTCCAAAGCTAAGGCATAAATATTATATAAGTGTAGTATGCAACTGAACAAACGAATTACTTGAGTGAGGGCATCTGCCCCAAGTGAGCCTTTATTGGCTCCGTCCATGACCTAGCCCTCGATTGAAGACGGTTTTCGTGTTATTTCAAACTATTTTTAACCCTATGATCCTTTGGCCAGATTAGTTGAAGATGGCCTCAATGATCCGTACGGTGGATGGAGGCCGCAACGGTGGTCCACACAACTAGCCGTACCTTTTTTATTTTATCAAAGATCTTTAAGCCCTTCGGGCGAGGGCGGGTTGTTGGGTCCAAGCCCCGCGACAATTCTCTCCAACGTGACAAAAAACCAAGACATTTTGAGTTTAAAACCTCTAGGAAAAAAAATCAGGCAATATTTGTAGGTAAATAAACCAGAATGCAATTCATTAGCTATAATATTGAACTGTATATAACGAGTACACTACAACAACAATCAAACCTTATCCCACTAAATATCGTTACCTATATGAATTCTAAAATACTACTGTGTTCGGTTTTGACAGCAGGTAGACTACACAAAAACAAAAACCCAAAAGGCCTAAACGATAAACCGAGACTAATTTATATGCAACAAGTCTGCTGTGAGGTATCAACCTACAAGTCTTCTTCTTTTCCAAGATATCCTACTAGAATGCTTCATATCGCTGATTGATAAGACAAAAAACCGGTGATGTTTCTATCGCCGCTACCCATGAAGGAGCTACAAAAATGAAGACGGCACCAGAAGAATCTAGCCATCTTCCTCGTCATCGTCTTCCTCTTCGTCACCATTGTCCTGCACATGTGCATCCAGAAGTTGTTAGGACAATCATTCAATTCAATACTAATATCCAAGGTGATGAACTCTGACTACAATGAATATATATGCAACAAGACTCAAGGGGACGGGATCCCGATTTGTGGGACATGAGTGAGTGAGCATCACAAATCCTTACAACATCGGGTCTAACCACAACACGCACTAGAAATGAAGAATAAAGATGTACGCAAGATATAGGTAGTGAAATTTCATCTTCGTTACCATTTCATCATCTTCAGAATCCTCTTCATCGGCCTCCTGAAACAACGAATTCAAAAAGTTACGCTGCCTGCCATGGTTAGATTGAAAAGAAACATCAAAGCTCAAAATCATAGTTTCTATTGTTCATGGCATATAGATTAGCACTCCCAACAAGTCCTGGAGACGAGAATCCATCCCGTTTGTCCCAAAGGCCTTAAAACAGAAGCAGTCGATTAACATATTCAAAGTAACAAATATACACGCATGAGAAGAAAATATTACGTTATTAAAATACTTTAGAGGATTGGGCCATAAATCGTTCTTAATTATCTCTACCACCTGCAATGTCACAGTGAACGAAAGATCAGTAAAGATTAACAGGAAAATAAACGTAGATTATTTTACTTCAATTTAAACCCTATGGAAATTGGCTAAACCATAACTAAAAACTACGCATTGGCAAACGACTACCATTGATTTTGATGGTTACAAGTGATATTCATCAGATGAAATTCCTTTTAAATGAAGCGTTTTACTACGAAAAATTAGCATGCACAGGTATATACAAGCGTTACTCGGTGAAACTAGATAGATAAAAACAGACGTTACCTTGTCATGTTCAAGAGGTGAGTCAAACAAACTGAAGAAGCTGCAACAATTACAATAGATTAGCAAATACTAATCTCTGATACGCCAGATAAATCAAAGAGAAGATAGTAAAAGAAAAAAATTCGAACATAAATCGTAAACGATATGGTTATGAGCCTTCCTAGACGGTACAAAAAAAACAGTTCAAACATTTTTACAAGAAATAAACTAAATCGCTCAGTGACAAGAGTTTTCAGCAAAAGATGGATTTCAGTCTTAAGTAGAAAAAAATTGAACAGGAAACTAATGAAATATTTTTCTTTCTTGGTTCAGATGTACGAAAGACAGGGACTCACACTTTATGCCAACCTAAAAAAGAGTTCCTACTAGCTCATAAACCCTTGAGCCCCAGCCTAACAGAACAGTATTAGCTATAAACGAACACATAAAATAAAAAGATTATAACCTCTCATCAACAAGTGGTCGTTTCTTTCCATTTTTCTCTTCGGTAACTCCATTCACAAGACCCTACACAATTTACAACTCCAGTAAATTATATGAGGGGAGAAAAGAAGGGAGAAAAAAGAAGACAACAAGGGCCAAAGTGGCAAGTGTGGTGAATACCATGCCCTCCTTCCATTTGATGGGAGTACCAGTAATTCTTGTTGTCTCACCATCAACGAATGTAAAAGTTTTCGTCAACTTTGTATCTTCAAAATAAGGATTGTCATTAAAGTTCTGAAATAGAGGAATTCGAAGGAAGCATTAGCAGAGAGTAATTCAAACACTATCAGAAAGAATGGGCATTTATATTCAAAATCCAAAGAGAAAAAAAGGAAAGCAGCGTGCAATAGAATGTGAGTGTGACCAAGTTAAACTCAACAAGGAAGCTTACGAATGTGACGGAGTATCCTAACGTCTTATCATCTTTGAAGTCCACCACATCAACAGACTTTAAATACTTGAATATCTTTGTCAAGAAGAAAAGAACAGAAATGGTAAATACACAGAACTGTTCAATTCCAGCCAGCTGAAAGAATTAAGACAATAGGAGGATAAACGAAAATCTACGCTAAAGTAATCATTAACAAACTATTTGTCTGACCTTCTGGTCTTCTTCACTCAAAATATCACAAAGAACAGGATGGCTCATGAGCAATAATGCACGATTTTCCTTTTATAATGATGAAAAGAAAGAAAAGGTTTTTGCAAGACTCACAACCAACCCAAAATAGCCTAAACAGACTATCACACGAACATAAATTTTCCGGTTTCAAATTCGATTTCCAAACCTTGAAATACCCCGAATTCGAAAACCTTCACTGGATCATAATGCCTCAGGTCACATTCTCTAAAATACCAAGAAACATAGATTACGAATTCGAATTCAGAAAACAACACCAATCAATCCACAAAAACAAAAGGGAAAATGTTGTAAAAACAAAAAACAAAAAACAAAAAGCTCTGCAAGTGATTGAAATCCCGATAAATAACAAAAATCGAAATTGAAAGCCACGCTTATGAGCTGTGACATACAGAAACTTTTATACATACACAGTGCCAATACATATATTTACACACACACACACACACATATATATACAGCACAAAGAGAGAGAAAGAGAGCAGAGAGCAGAGAGAGCAGAGAGGTTACGGAACCTTGTCGAGTTCGTCCTGAACCTCCTGCAACTTCTCAATGGAAAGCACGAACTCCTTGACCAAGTGATAGGCGTCGTCCTCCGGAGCTCGTTCAGTGAGCTTGGCCATCTTCGCCGCGTCCGCTACCATCGTGAAAAAGCAAAACCTTATTTTATGTCGGGAAAGCGAGGGAAAATCAGCGCCAGCGTTTTGTAATGATTGTTTAGTCATTAATGTCTGTGTGTGAGGGCTTTACAGTCTTTTCACATCCTCACTGTAGTGCTGTGTCACTTTTATTTTTTTGAGTTCATTGATATTTTTACATTAAGAGGAAGGGAAGTTAGACAAAATCACACAATGAGCAACCTAATTTGGTATCGAATTCGTCATCCACGAGATTTGAACTTAAGACTTTTCACTTCTAAGTGAAGAGGAATAGTACTAAACCGTAGTACTGAGTGGTTGTAGTGCTATGTCACTTGTGTCTTAAGCAATTTTAGGCATCAAATGTAATTGTTGGCATTCTAGCACAGAAATTTTGCATTTCCTTTTTTGGTAGAGATGAATGCAAAGTAATTATTTTAAAAAATTTAGAGACATATCATAATTTGTGTAGATTTATAGTTAATATGCGTTAGAATTCCCTCCTCATGAAATTAAATACCCATCTTTAACGTGCAGCTATCTAAGAAGTAAAATCCTTAGACAAAGAAATGTCTTTCCAATTTTCAAGAACTGAGTAAATGTAAAGCAGCCCAATATGATTGTTTTGTCTATCCCCTTCCATAGTTTTCTAGAAGGGAGTTTGATTTTGAATATTTATATGTTTTGACCTGGTAGCTCTTATACAGAGAGTAGGAGTAACAGAAAAATAGTGAGTTCATCCAAGAGTTTGTGTGTGCTCTTGAGTCAGTCAGCCTCTAAAGTTTAGAGAGATTGGTGCTTGTAATCCCATTTCATAGTGGAAGTATTTTGGACTTTGTCCTGTGGTTTTTCCCTTCACATCGGAGAGTATTTTCCATAAAATTCTAGTGTCCTTTTGTTCACTTATAATTTCTGTTTACTTGTGTTTTATTTCCTGTGATTTACACCAGCAGCAAGCTGCTGTTTTCCGCTGCATCAAACTCAACAATATGCATGGAATTATGTTAGAAATTAAAACTCCACGTGTTTCTAGGTCAATTATGGGCTCTCGCTTATCGGGGACAAATCCACAATATTAGAAAAGCGAAACAGCCTTAAAATTCCAATTATTTGAGAGGTCTAAACTATTCACTTTACCTCTCGTATTACCATATTATAAAGGAAGTTTCTTCCTATAAACAAATCTCTCATTAGAGAAAAACTCCCAATCGGACCACGTGATGGCGGTTCTAAGACATAAAAACGCCCCACCCCGACCCCCAGTTTGGCCTCATTTGGTGTTTCTCCGTGCAAGCAACCACGTCATCCGATCCTTCGGACCAAAACATTTCTCCTAATTTGGGCATATTGGCCTCTCTAATTTTCGGTCAACGGCGCACTTGCCAAAAGGCCAGAACACATAAGAAGCAACCCCTTTGTTGGGCTGTCGACAGAGGAGATTATGGATCATCAAAAAGCCCATTGGTTTTGGTTTGGGTAACTTTAGCGTGATACTCGTGGGATTCATATGATTTGCATTGGAACAAACAATAAGGTAATGCTTAAATTTTGTGAGTTGAGAATATTTGACCATCTCTAACCGACTCGGTCAAAGGGTTATAGGGCTAAAAATAGCTAAGAATGACATGAAAATCTTCTTCAACTGAGGGCTAGGCCAAAGGGCTTGTGGGCCCCATTGGGCCCAAATCTCCAAATCAGGCCAGCAAGCTGGCCATTTCCAGCCATCCAGCCTCCAGCCCAGCCTTCCAACACCATAATATCAAGCTTGACATTTTGCCAACCTTCCAACTCCAGAATGTCAAGCTTGACATTTTGCCAGCCCTTCAACTTAGCCCATTTGAATGCCAATAGCTACTTAGCGTCAGCATGACAATTCAAAAAAATAACTGATATTAAAAAAAAAAATTACTAAACAAACTGACAAATAAAATTACCAAAAACCCCAACAGCTCATAATTGACGCTTGAACATAATAATTCATTCTCGGTTTTTGAAGAAGAGGTTGTTCATACATACTACGGCATCACCAATGGAGTCTCTATCCTCCTTGAGTCTCTCTATTTAGAGACTCAAAGTAACCATTCGTCTTGAACACCACTTAAAATTTAAAATGGATGACAAATTAACCTAGCTAGCTATGTTGAAAAATTAACTAAAAACAATTTAACTAAGTCATCAATTATTTGATGTGAACCATATAGGTGGAGCGTCTAATTCTCCACGTAAATCCTTGAGGCAGTTGAAGTTCATGATGCTCTTGTTTGTCAACGAAAACACCCCAATATCTCGCCCCCTCGACGGTGAACTCGAGCAGAAATTATCAAACGCAAAACAAATGCAGTTTCTCTCAAGTGTCTTCTCGCAAACAGTATCGGTCGCAGAGAGGAACATGTTGCTAGCCTTGCTCACAAACAATATTCGATCGCCAAGGTCCGAAACTATCATCCATTCATGACCATTACCAGCACACTCCAACCTGAACACTTGAAATCCAAAAGTCTCTGGCGGAATAACGAAATTGTCACAGCCTTTGATGTCCGACCAACAGATTATCGAATTCTTCTCACGAACAAAGCTATTACCACGGAAAATCATGAACAGCTCCTTCGATGCAGCATCTTTTGCTAGGTAAACGTCGTCTCTGATTTCTCCGTCGTCCCTTGTGGTAATTTGCAAAGGAATTGGCCCAGGCTTACACATCACCAAATTTTCAACACCGTAGTTTGGACGACCAACGTTTTTCGTGGCATCTTCGATGTCAAACACCATGATAAACTCCGATGCTTCCCTTGTTGCCGCGTATAATTTCCTGTCGATTATTTCTATGTCGCAAAAGTCAAGCCCTCGGACATCCCAATCTTCAATTAGAGTCCATGACATATCAGTAGGCCTACAAATTGCCAAACGGCCTTGTGAACAAAGTCCTGCCACAACACAATGCGGGCTCGTTGGTGCTGAAGAGGCTACTATTTTCTTGAACTTGAAGGACTGTTGGTTGCCCTTGCCGCAAGGAAAGTTGAATTGCGATGGAAGCATAACTCTAACTCGTTCGCGTGATGTCGGATTCAAGAAGTAGATAGCACCAAAAGAACTACGGCTCTCGTTATTCAATGACTGAAGCGATCTGAAACCCTCGGCCGGCTGGACGAATTCGTGATCAACCACGATTAACCAACCCTCGATCGACCCAACACAGTCGTTATTACAAGAGGGACTTGATAGTTTGTAAATCTTTTCGTCGCTTAGACTGAGAAAACAATGATCTTTACGGTGCGTATTGTTGAGTTTTCGACTAGTGGAGCGGAGCATAAGCCGGGGAAGTTGACGAGCAGGAGAATGGCCACGCTTGCTCCGATCATCGTCGGAAACTCGAGCCGATGACCGATTACCAATTGTATGCTCATAGTTATAGATCCTCCTCCCAATCCGGATTAATGAATCTATTCCCAGAACCATGATGCAGTTTGTATCTGGAATTCAGTAAAGATGTTATACGATGAGCATGCAAGGTTCTAAGAGATTGAAAGAGCAATTTTTGTGCGTGTGGCTTCAGGCTTGCATGTATTGGGTTTGCCCAACTCCTGCATGTCCTTAGTTGATATAGGATTTGGTGGGAATATGGGATTCTTGTCAAGATTTGCGAGCCCCGTAAACTTTCCCTTACGGTTCTTTTAGTACACAAGTACTTAGCCTTTCTCATCTTTCCCTCAATATAACTTTTGGAAAGCACTTCTGCTCGTAAACATTTTTGTTATAAGTTTTTTTTATTAAGAAACATTGACGTTTTTTTTTAATTAAAAATATGGATTGTGACATGTGCTTATCCAAATCAATCCATGCAAATATTACCCGTTTCAATTCAAATTTTTTGGCCGATAAAGTGCAATAAATGAATCAAATTGCTTGATTTCGAATCAACATGTCCTCGGGTTAAGCCCATCTTCTGCTTAATTTTTAATGTTTTCGGAAAGAAAATGTTGCTAGCATATCATTTTTTTAAAAGGAAAACTAAAGAAAATAACTTTAAAACTTTGAGTTTTAACGATAAGGACAATAAATGGTAAAATGAATTGTACCATAATTGACTTTTTAATGAAAATGTGGTTTTTTATGAAAGTGAATAATACTGGAAGCTTTTCATTAAAGTTCCATTTTTTAAACCCGAAACAACGTGTACGTGAAAAGGGGGCTTAAACCGGGAACATGCATGTCGATTTGTAATTCACCAATAACAAAAAAATTATTTAACTGAACAATTGGAATTAATAAATTACTAGATTTGTTAGTATCTAGATGTTCAAAACTTTAAAAGTGACACCACGTAATTAAGCTCATGCATTTGTACTAAACTTTAAAAATTAACATGTTAAGTGCAATGATGTTTTATAATTCATGCAGCCGAGTGGGATAAGGCTCTGTTGTTGTTAATGTGAACAAGAAAAAACTCTGCTGCCGAGTGCAGAGACTATCTAACTAAACAAAGAAGGCCAGGAGCTTGATCTCGGCCACACTGCGTTTGACGCATCCGCTTGGTGGTTTTCCAGTTTTGTCTGAAGACTCTCCTGATGTTTTCCGGTCCCGGACTTACTCTAAATCCAACCTTCTTAGCCGGAGCAGTAGTGGAATCATCATCAAATCTGACCTCGGTCCAGGGAACTACTTCATCCTCCTCGAGATCAAAGCTGTAACTCCGATGAAGAACATTCTTCATCCACAGTTCCTTTGACGTCAAATCTTTTAGCCCTCGATCGGTTGTCGTAATATGGCAAGGAATTTGCACAGGTTCAAGCATATGCAAACTTTCAGCGAAATAGGCAGGAGGGCGAGCGGCGTCTAGTTCAATGTTGAACTCTACTAAAAACTCCGGCGCATTCCTTAATGCAGCGTGTAGTTTCCCGTTAATTATTTCTATGTCGCAAAACTCGACCCCTCTGGCCTTGCCTTGATCAACGAAAGTCCATGATTGATCGGTCGGTCTGCAGAACGCTAGCCGGCCTTGCCAACAGAGGGCTGCCACGAGACAATGCGGGCTTGTTGGCGCTGAAGAGGCTACTACTTTTTTGAAGAACGAAGGCCGGTTGCTGCCCTCACATGGAACCGTGGACTGAGATGGAAGCATAACTCCATCTCCTGATGTCGGATCGAAGAAGAAGTTAACACAAGAAAAACGAGTACCACTACGCTGATCGGGTAGCAAATGGAACGACCAAGGATTTGTGAAAGCACCGAAACTCCCTAGGTTCCAACATTCAACATCGACCATGATCAACCAACCTTGAATCGTTCCAACACAATCAAGCCTTTTTATTTTGCAACAAGTGGGAAAATTCGATTTGAAAAAATTCCCATCACTTGGACCTAAATTGCGACGGTGTTTGAGGGAGGCGAGGCGTTGAGATTGGAACGTATGCCGTGGAGGTTGAGAAGCATGGTGGTTACGCTTGCTCGGATCAAATGTCATATGATCAACAACTCGAAGCAATGTGTTCCTTGTTTGCAACGCCATGGTATCGAACTGGAATTTCGCACGAAGATATGAACGAGCAGCTTCAGCTGGAACAGATTCAGCTTCGCAAAGAATTGTAGTGTGGTTTGCAATGTTTGGTTGGGTTCTATATCCTAAGTTTTTATAGTTTGGAGAGTTTTCCTAGCGGGAGTGCGGTTTTTGTACTACTTTCCCCTTTTCGTTTGCCCTAACTTGTTTAGGAAGAACAAAAACTTGCTTCTTTTGAAAATCCATGGGGCCATGCGTTTACAAATATTACCAACAAAAGGGAGTGACAATTAACGGGCAAGCTAGTTTCAAATTAGACTCTATTGATTCAGATTGAAAATTTTGTGTGCAAAAATCACCCAATTTCGTAAGATTGGACTTCACTTCTGTGAATCGCTCGACCTATGAAACATTTTATGTGCCATGGAGCCAGATCAATGAGCTATGACGCTTTCGTTGACTGATTTAAAGAACTAATCCAAAGGTGAGGTATTGCATTTTTTTCAACACGATGTATCACCAGTTCAAACTTTCTTCAGTTATCTACTCTTAACGGTCAAAGCGAACCCTTTCATTTTGAATTCTTCTAGTAATTTAGACAGTCCAGTATAAATTATTCTATCGTTATTCAAATAATTTGTGCATTTCTTTGGTTTTTTTATTTTTTATATTTCTTTTAATGCACATCACGCGTTATTTACAAACTGCCCAAATAAATAACTGAGACAAATATGGCGTTTGAAAAACTATAGACTATAGTATCCATACTAAATTTAAATTTGGCATACTGTGAAACAAACTCTGCTGAGTTTTGGGCAACTTCTAGGTATTTATCCATTTTTGTTTGAGGTGCTATTTTGGAAAAGTTTTCAATGTGATGTTCACACTGTTACATGTTGTACAATAAACGAACAATAAAGTTGAAATATTATTGACTTATAATATACATTAGTGATAAATCAATGTGTCATTCCACGCGTGGGTTCATCTATCGCGTAACATGTGTTAAATTAAAAAATCTATCTTACAGTAGATCTAAACACAAAAGATAAATGATCACTTAGTATTATAATCTACTATTATTCCTTTCAGCTTATAATCAAAGATTTCAAGTCTTTGGCACATGAGGTGGCGGTTTGGCTAGGTAACATGGTAGAAACGTATCGAACTACAGCTCCTGGAACGACGGTTCGACTCCATCCTCGACCTCGGGGAGCGGCGAGCAATTCCAATGAATGACGAATTTAATATCAAATTATAGTTTGATCCAGTCTAAATCTCCACCTATTATTGTTTGTATTAAAAAAATTAATACATGGTTCAGTCTAAATTTCCACCTATTATTTGTTTGTATTACAAAAAAACAAAAAACAAAAAAAAAAAGTAAATGGAAAAATAATAAATTATTAATTTCCGTTGGATCATAAACCGAGTTTAATTAACCGTCTGAAGTCCGCCACTATAAGTAACAGACCGGCCCTCCGCTTCCCTCCCATTTCGTTTCTCCGCTGCTTCCTCAGACTCGAGTGAAAAGTCCGGACTGACCAGACCCTGAAACATTTCCACGGCGTCCAAACGCCTCTCACTGAAATCTAGGGTTTCGCCATCGCTACCACCTCAAAGCTTGCATACGAACCGCCTTGTAGTTACTCCGATAAATGCCTGCTGCATTGCTCCGGCAGTCCAGAGGTTTATGATCCGTGCTCAAAAATTAGGGTTTTCTGATGGATCTGGTGCGCCACGAACTCTTAATCTCGATTAATCTTGATTAATCCTGATTATCTTTAATATATATATCTTGATTTTCTTGAGAAAATGTACTGAAAATCGCAGGAAATACAAAGTTTTGGAGCGACAGAGCTCCTGACCAACTCGCTTCCTAAATGCACCTATTTCTCTTACAATCGCGACGAAAACGTCGCGTTCAAGGCCGACGACGAACTCCGGAGCGCGAAGAGCGAACGGTTCGACTTCCTGGAAGCCGAATCGCTCCTGATCAACTCGGTTTTCCGAGACAACAAGGCGCAACTCGTGACTCACGCGAAGCGGTTCGCTGAGGCGTCCGGGGAGGCGATTGCCCGGAGCACGGTGTTGAAGCTCCTCCACCTCTGCTGCAACTTCGACTCACCGGAGTGCGCGTCGGCATTGCTAGCCGGAGAGCTCGGAGCGACACCGCTGGTGTACGAGCTCGACGATTCCGGGAAATCGGCGCTGCACACGGCGGCTCTGGCTCACGCGGCGAGGTGCGTGGAGGTTTTGCTAAAGAAACACGCTCGTACGGGCCTGAGGACACGAGATGGACGCGCACAGCTTGCTCTGGACCTGTCTCTCTCTAGCAGCAGGTAACAACCAATTAAAACGTCCCAAAACACAGTCGTTTTTAGAATTTGATTGCCTTAAAAGGTAAAAAGGTGATCCCTTCCCCATAAACCCCACTGCACATATTGCTTCTTGTGGAAATTTTGCTTTTTCCTTTTCAGTCCTCTTTTGACCTATTTCAACATTTTTATTAATTAACTGTACCTCTTTCTAATTTTTTTTTTCTTTTTCTTTCTTGTCCGTTGTCCTTAAAAGTAAAATTTTAATTAATTTCCGAATTATGATAAACCCTAATTCGCCTTTGATTTTCAGGATCGATGTGATTTGGACTCCGGATGACTACACCATTGAGGACTTGGTTGTTGTTCTTGGTGAAAAGGTTTCTATTTTATTTTTTATTTTTTGGTAATTATTTTTATTTTTCTTGGCCTGTTTGGCTTCCTAGAAAATGAAAAAGCTGGCAACTTAAGTGTTATAAAAAAAACTCACTTCAATTTGGTAAATTTTTTTTTTGTTTTTCCATCTCAGGATTTGACGACTGTGAGACTTCTCAGTGAGAAGACGAAGGAACTAGGTGACGTGGCATATGCGAACGCCGTTGAAGGCCGTATAGTTGCGTTAGCGGCTCTGCTTGCAGTAGCTG